CGAATAACTCGAATAGTGCTATTCGTACTATTCGCTGCACAAAGTATCCGGATATTCGAATACTATCCGTTGATCGAAGTTTATTCGTACATATATATTATATTCGAATATCCGGATATCCGAATCACACTGTTATTCGAATTTAAGCCGCAGCCCTAATATATATATATAATACAATATATATTTAGCCGGGCGCACGTTAGTGAGTCGGAGCGCTCACACCACCAGACGCGTGGTTCACTGACGTGCGTTCGGCTAAAGGTCGGCGCTGATTGACTTGATTTGTTCAATAATTACTTCTTTATTATATGTAATAGAAACAACTGGTTCAGGACTTTTCTACTCACAGCTTTACTTCTTCTATCTGCCTATGAGAGATTTTACACTAATTGTCGGACACCCTGTTTATATATACCATATGTACATAAATCTATTAAATTAATATATTATAATACGATATCGGGAACTCTCTTCATGAGTCCAACATCTGTGACACAGAAGATATCTTTATATTTGTTTCCATCTTTATTTTACTTTATTTTCTTTATATAAGATAACCACACAAAGAGAATAATGTTTAACCACAATGCATGCTTATTATTTGCATAAATCGGAATTCTTGTAGCCATTATCACACTTATATCCGACCTTGTAGATTTTCAATTCATAGAAGACAATAATAAATACATAAATTTTCGTTTTGTCATTAATTAAGTCGTTACTGATAAAAAGCATGTGTACAGACGGCGTCATTAATTCGAAGAATAGGCGCGGGGATCGGAGGGCAAGCGGGGCGGTTGCTCGTAGCGCCAACGGGCGCCGTACTAACTAACTAGTAGCAATCGGGTGTTCACAACTACGACGTAGTATTTAGCCCGTTGGCGCTACGAGCAACCGCCCCGCTTGCCCTCCGATCCCCGCGCCTATTCTTCGAATTAATGACGCCGTCTGTACATGTACCTTTTGGTATATAACTAATAGGAAAATATATTACAATTAATTGCCTTAAAAAAGAACAAGAAAACTACATTTTTATTCATTATTATTGATAACTTGACTTGACTTTTTAGTGGCTCGCGATATCCATATATTCTATCCGACTATACGTTAGTAGTACATGGGATTGTTACTGTTTGTATCTAATCACAGCTATTGTCTAACGCAAGCGCAGAATTTGTTTTTGTCACACAGATTTTGGTCTCACTGATTCCGCTCACCGATGGATCGTGTGTATACATTATACATGTATATTCTGAGATAAAAGCCAAATGATATTGAGCTTGAGCGCTCGTGCACAATTTTAATATCTTGACGACCCCTGATAATCTTTGACATCCCTGATAATCCCTGACCAAAAAAAGAAGTTTTATAAGCATTTGTTTGTATGAGTGGAAGTTTAATGTAAATTTCAAACCAATCAGCAAAGATTTCATAAAGCGGAAATTGCATAACGTTTGAAAAGCGTTTATATAAAGCGTTCTTCCTAACAATTTGCATAGTGTTTGCGTTAAGCGTTTACTATAAACTTGTGAGCGTTCGTTACGCTGTGTAATTTAAAATCTAAAGAAAAATTCTATCTAGAATCTAAGTAGAATTTCTTACTAAACAAAAATAGTGGCACATTGTCTTGTGAGAAGGAAATTAACTTGAGAATTTCACTCAAATTAATCTTTAGAAACCGGATTCATCTCGCCGATCGATCGATGAACTTCAGTGAAAGAAACCGGACCTGAAAAAATCTTAAGGTGATAGTCGGGGGATTCGAACTTGAGACTCTTTATATTAGCAGGTTTTGCACTCAAACCGCGGGATCAGTTGCTCCTTTCTAAAATGTATGTATTTTTATCTACTTATTCTCAAGCTATATTATACATTTCATTTATTATTTATTTAAATTATTATTTTATTAAAAATATATCAGTGCAATGTACCTGCAACAATGGATAAAAATATTTCTCTTCTTATTATTAAATATAATTTAAAGTATATTTTTATAACGCAAACAAATTTTTTGTTACCAAATGCTGATTATTATAGTCAATTTTTAATAAACATATAGAAAATGATATATAAAAATATATACACATATATGTAAGTTACATAATATATTAGTATACAGATTTGTACACGTACATTTAAACAAGTTAGAATGATAATCGTGGCAATGTTGCAAATACTCAGTTGTGACAGCTTATAACTTAGTTAATTATACCTAACTAGAGTTAGGTATAATTAGTTGATTTATTGAATTTTGTTTTGATAATTAATACTTAACAAAATACAATGAAAAATGCTTTTTTCTCTAGAATAGTTGCAATATAAGGAAAAATTTGTTAATCAAATAACCTATTAGACGACGTATTATGCGACATATTGCTAAGTTGGAAAAAATCTAAAGTGCTCTCAAAAGTGTTTTCTTGAAAAAAATTATAAGTGAGAAACGTCTAGAACAATTCAATATTATACATGGCTCGTGACAAATATTATTACAAAAATAGCAATTGGCAAGACATATGCTACAAATGCTTGTGCGTTGCCAGATCAAGAGGCACGGTAGTGCCTCGCGCCAAGTATATGCGCAAACGAAGTGCCTCTTATACGCGAGATTTAGCCGAGAGACTTTTCGAATTTTTCCGATCTCAACAACGGTTAAACCGATCGAGTTCGTAGTAGACTCAATCGAAAGATGAGATCGAGGCACGAAAAAACTTATCTCGCGGTTTTTTCCTCCGTGCCTTCTCAACGGAGATATCTCGATACAAAGTCCGAAATGCCGAAAAACTAGGTTCTAAGTATTCATAGTCGAAGCTCAAGATAATGCTTAAGACTGTCTCGGTAAAGATGGTCTTATTTAATTAAGATCATCTCAAGAACGATATAATTCACAGTCGCAATATAAGGTGATCTTCGTCGAGAAATTCTTCTTTAAGTAATTCTTATTTGATATAAGATTGTCTTTACGAAGATGTGCTTAAGACAATGCTTATTTATGATTCGGTTATTTCCGTAACATTTCCGTTAGATCCGCCAATAGAAATATTGGTTCACTTTTATAAAGTAGTTATACTATTTTAGTTTAATATTATTAGTCGTGACTAATATTAAATGTTTTTGGATGCTTTCCGATATTCACTGTACTCACCATACTCACAGCCACAGATCTATAGCAAGGAGAAACACTAACTTCATAGGTCACTTTCTTTTAGAAAAAGAATGCCAAAGTTTTATTTATTATTAAATAAAATAGAATAAACTAGCCTTTTATCGACTGATGGTGGTTAAAATAAAAATCAGCTTTATTCTTGGGACGTTTTGATCGTTGTTTATTAATTTCCGATCATCATCAGCCAGTAAATTAACAAAGAATTAATTACCAGTATAAAACACGTAAAACTTAAGTTAACAAAGTATAATACGGTGAAAATCAAAAGCTTATACGCACCTTCAAAACAATTGCACGCTACTGCATGTAAGCACTGTCATCAAACAAAAAAACGTCAAATCGAAAAATTAATTCAGGAAACCAAAATTAATTATGTAAACAAAGTCAAAGATAATAAATTATGTGTCAAAATTGTAAATAAAAATTATAAAGTCACATAATAAAAAATGAACAAGTACACAACAGCAGCACAAATACGTCAACGACCATCTCGTGTAACATGTCATGTACAAATAAACAAGAATATGTGATAAAGGCTGATACACTGGCGAGAGAAACGTCCCCAAGCGGGAGGAAATTATTTATTATTACAGACTTATTTATTTCTTTGTAAACGTCAAAGCACATGCACATATGAGTAATAACTGTTCCAACAAAAGCTGTTGCTTAAGACGTCTTTGAACATGTCTTGGAGAAGATAGTCTTATTTGTCAGTGTACGCGTGAAATAAGATGGCCTTTAATGACTGTGAATTTATGATGAATAAGGTAATCTCAATCTCATGCTTAAATGGATTTATGAATCATATTAAGACGCATCTAAATAAGATTATCTTGACCAGGGTTGGGAGCGTACTATACATGAGATATTGTACATTGTATTTGATACAAAACAAATGTTTGTATAATAACAATTATACAACTAAACAACAACTGTACAATATATAGTTTGTATAGTTGTTGTTTAATTGTATAATTGTTAGCTGCGTTATGGTTATGTGGGCATCAAAGTTGAGCAAGTATTATACCGTATAATACGTGCCTAGTTTTTATGGCCGCACCAAAACCTAAAGACAGAGTGCAGCCGCGTTTGAACGTCTATCTCTAACTTGGACCATAGGCTTTCTGGTTTTTTTTTTCTTATAATTTGTTTCTTCGAGCCGTTTTATTATAATATTACTTATTATACTTTTTAAACATATTTTGTTTTAAGAAAAAGTATTATATTTACAGAACATCAAGACAAAAATCACACGGACTTAAGGGAAAGAAAAATTATCATAATTTGAAACGTGCGCGAAAAAGACATTTATAACAGAACAAATTTGGAGTACATCGAATCTACTTGAACCATTTTACACTCCAAAACATGATTATAACAATAATATTATTGTTATTATTTTTGATTGTTTTCATAATACTGTTTGATTATTATATGCATCATAAGCGAAGTGGACGACTTATAGATCTTATACCAGGTTTACCAAGTATTCCGATTTTCGGTTCGATATTTTTATTGCAAGGTTCACAAGGTAAGTATTATATGCTTCTTTTAATACAAAGAATTTCAAAAATTACAAATTAAAAAAATAAAAATATAATCAAAAACTTTTAAATGTTAAACTTTTATCAGAATATTATTTACATTTAGTACATTTTTCAGAAGATATATGGCATACTATGCATTATTTTGCTGACAAAATATATCCCGTTACAAAAATATGGGCAGGTCCTATAGCTGCTGTAATGATTCGTCATCCAGATGATTTGGAAGTACTAAGATATAAAAGAAATATACTTCTTTGTGCAATCATATATTGACAATCTAGTGACTTAGAGATTAATTGTCGCGTTCAAAATACTTATTACTGAGTTGTCGTTTTGTCTAAACACTTGATAACACTTAATTAACTGATTCTACAAACAAGAGTTAATCACGTTCTTTGCTATAAAGCAACTTGTTCTGCTAAACGCAGTAAATGTTGTCATTTATATTCTAAGTGAGACAAAATGACTTAAAATTGAGAATATATATACATAAAATAAAATAATTTTAAAAATAAATGTTTATATGTTAAGTTGAAATATCTGAAAATCTTGATATTTTCACTGTCATTTCTTTTCGCAATTTTAGAAAGTCTTAAGTAGTACAAAACATAACGAAAAAAGTAAACTGTACGATTTGTTACGTCCGTGGCTTAATGACGGTCTTCTTATCAGCAAAGGTAATATAACAAAAGTAATCTAAACATAGTTTTTAATAATTTTATAATCAATACTATTAAATAATAAATCATTAAACGCAATTAAAGCGATGATGACATGGTTTTACGTCATTTTAAAGTATTTAGCCTAAAGCCGCGTAGGTTTACGTCATTTTAAAATCTACGTTTAGTGTTTAATAAACATATAAGTGTAATATGATGTGTATTTACATCCATTTAAATAGCAAAACTGTGCGACCTTCAGCTATAGACGTTTGAAAATTGTAAGCAGCGGATCTCTATTCAGGTCTCGCTCTAAAATCGCCGGCTGTGAATATATTAATATCACTCGACTAATTAAAATTTTTTTCAAATTAAAAAATAAGAGGTCCAAAATCAAAAAGCACGGTAAGGTGAATGTCTCTATTTATGATCACTCGCGGACTTGCAAAGTCTGCAATAACACATTATGCCAGTACAATGTAGCCAACATTCAAACATAATCTGTTATTTCAACTAGTGTTGACAGAAAAACAGAAAAAAAGAGAATATAAATGTGTCATGCCGTGATGCAAATATTATTGCATCAATCAAGCAGAACTTGCTCAAAAAATGTAGCAAATTTGAAGCATAACGTGCTATTGTCATTTCATTCTTCATTTATTTCTATATTTTTGCTGTGTTATTTTCTTTACATATCGTGCCCATAATTCACTCACTATGATGACACAGCTGAGTGGAATCTGGTGCAAAGTGCTGATTAAACCTGCGTGCATACTGCTGGCATACTGCTATCATTTGGCTATCGGGAACATTTCATTTATTATTTATTTAAATTATTATTGTACTAAAAATGTTGCAATGCAATGTACCTGCAACAGTGAATAAAAATACTTTTCTTATTATTATTAAATATCATTTAAATTGCATTTTTACAACGCGAACAAATTTTTTAATATATGCTGATTACACTGTTCAACACATTTTTGAAACTTGAATAAACAAAGTGTTTTCTAATGGAATTTTAGTCACGGAAAACGAATCTAAAGGCGAAATTGACCTACCACGTCAGATTTCCGAGAAAATTGAAAATATTAAATGTAACCTAACATACTGTTTATTAGCGTGAGAAAGAGCATATCAGTGTGTTTCATTTACACTAGTGGATACTGTATTACACAGTGTCGACTGTGTACATAGCTGGAAAGCACCCATTGTTTTATTTTACTCAATAAATATGAGAATAATTCATTACATTTATAAATAAGTGCATAAATTCATATAATAATAAATTAATATTTTATAATAAACATACTAATGTGTGTTGCAAAATGGTTTTCTATTCAGATTGGTTACGTTCAGAAACTCAACAGTTGCACAACGGTTGAGAGATGATCACTTACGATTGAATCATACTTTTCAAACCAATTTAGATTTTGAGGAATAGTTCTATCACAAGTGATCATCTCTGAACCGTTGTGCAACTGTTGAGTTTTCTGAACGTAATCATTGATCTAATATTTATCACTCTTTGGCTATCTCAAAGTTTTAGACATAATAGCAATAAATGCAATATAAGCATAGCACAAAATAAAAAATTTGCGTTTGACACTTCTATACATGCGTAGCATGTATTTTATCGCTAATGTAATAGTTGGACAGATCTGTCGCGTTTGTTTTGTCAATCTGTGGTCAATCTGTTGTCAACGCGGTCGACAACCCTGCTTACTGTTTGTTGTCAATCTGTCGTGTAAACGTATTGGAAACTGTTGCATTTTTGCGTGCCAACTGGTAACCGGTTGTAATAAACTGGTTTATAACCAGTTTCTACTAGTTAACTACTGGTTTGTCTACACGTTAATATCCACATAGCATCGTTAGTAGCACAAACATTTCTGCAACGGGTTTTCCGAAACTTAGCAACGTTTCGTTAAAAGTCTCTAAAACGTAGTAACATAGCGGAAACGTCGAATTGTTCGCTTTTTAAATTGCGGTCCGATTTCGTAGAAACGTATAAGAAACGTGGAGTGATTAATTAATTAATCACTCTTTTCTGGAGAATGATTAAGCAGGCAAAACCTGCATGGTTTCAAAAATGTATTTTACAATGTTTATAAAAATTTTAACATTAAAAACTTTGCAATTATCGGGAAACGTTTGCGTCGATGCTATGTGGATAGGTGAGGTGCTTGTCACAACACAGTGACAACTTTATTAATTTTATTAAAAACAATTTGTAAAAGACATTTTGTGTAATTATGTGTGAGTATAATAGTAAATGATTAATAAATGTTAATAATTAATTGTTAATTAATAGAAAGTTGGTAGTATTGAGTATATAAGCGACCAATACAAATAGAGACAATAAAACACGCATGTCGTCATTTGTGACTAGGCTCAAAAAAACAAATTATAAGAGTAAATTTCACTGCTTTTTTTCCAAAAAAACATAATTAACATTCATCTTTATACGCTTCTAGGCGTGTATAAGTTGTATTTGTACAAGTAAACAGAAAAATGTTTACTGTATGCTCGAGAAAAAAGTCAGTGACAACGCTATCACTGTAAGTTAGGTTAGGTTAAGTTAGGTTAGGTCACTTAGGACCTCGGTTGTTCCAATTTCTTGAAACATCGTATGTTTTGTATTAAACTGCCGGTCACTATGGTTAATAAATGGTTACCAATTGGTACATTCAATCTGACATACCGGTTAATAACCGGTATATTCGATTTGATGCACCGGTTACTAATCGGGGCAGATGGCGGTCACTAATAGGGTCAAATTTAAATCATGCGGTCACTAATGNGTACATTTACATAGTCTGCAATTTTCTTTTTAATAATTTTTACATTATGTTTAAAATTTGAGTAAAAGACATTTTTCGATACAAAAATGAATATTCTTGAGTTCGGTATAATTGTTTTTCCATTTTAATTACTCTAAAATATTTTTATTTTTTATTAACTCATGCAAGAATCTTAAATGATCACAAAAGAGACATTTACCTTACTGCCTCGCGCCAAGTTCCCGCGCAACAAAGTAACTCTCGAATTGCGCAAAGCACACCGTGCCTCTTATATTTCACGAAATTCAGATAATAAAAAAGAGCGGAGATTTTTACAGAACAATATTTCAGTAACTGAACCGATCAATTTCGTTTTAGTCTTAATTGATTCAGAATAAAACATTTTTTTAAATGTATTTTTGCGTTTTTTTGGTTTGTGGCTTTTAAACGGAGATAATGAAAGATAAACAAAAATGAGTGTAAAATTTACATTCAAAAACGTCATTATGGTCGTCGTGCAACCAAATTGTGTACATGTATGTTTGCTATATGTATACCAGATGGCATACATATACGAGCACGTTGAAAGAAGAAAAAAAAAGACAGGAAGTGTGAGTTAGAAAAAGAGAATCAAGAGGCACGAGGTGGTTCGCGTTATTAAGCATCATATCGCGTTACGCTTACTTTGTACACACTAATTATTATATATGGTAATTATTATATTATGTACAAAAGAGAATAGTTTACTGAGATAAATGATACAAAACATAACTTTTAATCTGATGTTCTTGGTTTTTCATCAGGAAGCAAATGGCACACTCGACGAAAAATATTAACACCTACGTTTCATTTTACTATATTGCGACAATTTGTTGACATTTTCATTGAAGAGAGTAACCGTATGATAAACTCTCTAAAAGATAGTAAAGGACCAGTTATAAAAAATTTAGTCCCATTTCTTAGCAAACATACACTAAACGCAATAAGCGGTAATATATGATATTTTCTGTTATTTCTATGTGTAAAATTATATTATTTTAAAAACATTTAAAATACAAAAAGATATTACCCAGATAGCCAACTGAGTGCAAGTTGTTGGCAACTTACCACAAATATTGCTCATATGTTTTCAGCAATATAACAAAAGGGTGTATCCTCTTTTCAGTATATTCTTGCCAGCAACAATTTACAAGATATAATAACAACAAGTTCCCAACAACTCATTGGCAATAAACTTATACTATTTTTCTCAATTTATGAATAACAATTATTGCTCACATATTGCTGACTCACTTGTTATAAACATTGGCTACAACAATTGATTGATAATAAAACTCAGCATATCGATACTGAATTGACAAAAACATTTTTGTTGCATTAAATAAAACCAACACAACAGCAATTGGCGAGCAACTTAATCTATACAATGATATGCTTTATATTGAGTTTTCACATTTGGCTATCTGGGTATTAATTTTTCAGTGCCAGACATAAAAAATGATCTACAAGTTGTCCAAACTAGTGGGTCTGTCCACTAGACCAACTTTAAGTTACGCGACTTAAGTTCGAATATCTCCGCAAAAAAACAATATTTTTTCAATGATTTCTTTTTTGAATAATTTTGCGTCAATAAAAAAACGAGAAAAGATTAAGAAAAATCTTTAGTAATCTCGACGATATAAGCGTTTAAAGAAAAACCTGACAATTTTTTTTCGAAAAAAGGCTTTTTAATATTAATAACAGTCCTTTGATCAAACAAATTATAATACAATGAAAAAACCAAAGAGCCATCTTCAACCTGGATCATAGACTCTTTGATTTTTTCATTGTATCATAAAAGGATTTTGTTTAAAACTTCATAATTGTTTTTGTAATTCAGATTTTTACAACATTCCAACACAGTTTTATAGAGATTCGTTCGTATTTTCAAGGACAAAAGTGTCTTCTAAAAATTGTAAAATTAAAAACAATTTTACAAAAATCTTTTTGGAACGTTTTGTGAAGAATGCATTATTTTAGTGCCCAACTTTGACATGCACTATTTTAGCAATAAATCAATATTTGAACATACTCTTTTTTTAAATAGAAATTTTGAACAATTCTACGTCGATAAAAAAACAAATTGAAAATATCTCTAGTAATTTCGAAGAAATGTTTAAAATGTTTCTGCGCGCCATGATAACTAAATCGCTATAAATATATTATTACGCTCGCGGTAGCGGTTCTGTCCCGCCGATCTCCGCGATTCGCGCACACGACCGCGGGAATGAGAAGACGTGAGTTCTCTTAACAACACTTTATTAAGCTACAAATTATTACAGAAATTACAGGATCGTCTGTAACGCGTCGTGACAGCGTCCGCGATTCGTTTCTCTACACAACTCTGTCGCCCGGCGACGAACAATCACGCCGAGCGCACGCCGTTCACGCGGCTCCCGCGACACATACGCGGTGACCGCCGCGTAACAATATATATATATATTTTGATAAACTTATGAAAAAAACAACAATTATTTAATATATTAGAAGTAGTCAAACTCTCTCTCTGTGAAAAACAATTTACTTACTTTTCGAAATGCCAACGTGTTGTCCAGACTTGGGTCTCTCAGGCCCTTTTCGCACTTCAAACTTCAAATTTCGCAAAGCTATTAAACAGATGACGCTGTTAACGACCTCTATCATTGTCTAAAGTCCTGAAGTTTTTTTTCATGGCCTTCAGATATTGCGCTAAACTAATATCTAGTAGAAACATCAGTTTAAAACTTTTGTCTAGGAGACCTATATCTGGCACTGAAAGGTTAATGTGGAAAAACTGTAATGATAATTTTTACATAATCAAATTTACATATATTGTTTATGTTATAATATACTTGTAATAAATATATTTTTAGAAAGCGCCATGGGTATTTCTTTGCATAATTTTGACACGTTCAAGGAACAGTATCGAAAATCAGTAGAGGATATGGGTCGCTATTTTATTTACAGGTAATTTAGGCGGATACTTTTTTTAATTATGAGATATCTATGTATGTATATGTGTATATATGTATACAGAGTAGACTATTTTATTCAATACATGTAAATATATCGAAAAAGAGAAGAGTTTTTGAAAAAATAATTCAGACAAAAGTTGTATGGCATTGAAGGAGAAAGATGATGGTTACTTAGTTGCTACTTCCCCCTCTCTCTTTTTCCTCAAACTGAGTATGTAGCGTATCTCTTCTGTATCCATATTCTTCTTTATCGTCGCGAATAGATCATGCATTTTTGTATTTTTTTTATGTAGAAACATTGAAGAAGATCCCATAGTGAATCAAAACGTTTGTATCTTTTTTTTTTAAAAAATCTTTAGATTAAAGAAGAATTTTACCCGAATATCAGGTGTAGCTCGTTATTACCTTCTTCCTATCTTTTTAATAAAATGCCAATAAATTTAATATAATTTCGATACGCAGATCACTATCTCCCTGGCTGTATCTCGATTGGATGTTTGCATTATCGCCAACAGGTAGAAAGCAAGCTAAAACTTTAAAGATATTACATGGATTTACTGAAAAAGTGTGTATAATATTGTGTATAATATTGTACTTTTTTTGATTACAGTAGAGACTCTAGTATCCGAACCCCTATTATACATATATTCGAATAATTTAATATTCTAACATTCCATTTTTTACGTTCTGTCCGAACAACGTTTTGTAGCGATGTTTATATGCAATATATTTATATGTACTATTGACAGCTCACAAGAATTTGCTCTACCAACAAGCTAACAGACGCGAGAGGCAAGGGGAATCGTCCGTCCGCTCCACCCAATCTCCTCTACTAAGTAAGTTCTGTCGAAGCGATGGAGATATGCCCACAAGCGAGAACTGTGTGAGCTCACAGACATGTTCTCGCTTGTGGGCATATCCCCACCGCTTCGACAGAACCTATCTAGTAGAGAAGATTGGGTGGAGCGGACGGACGATGCCCTTGTTTCTCGCGTCTGTTAGCTTGTGGGTAGAGCGAATTCTTGTGAGCTGTCAATAGTACATATTTTCCTGTGTTCAGCCGATTAAATCGTAATCATAACATGCGAAATTTTGAATGGTTATAGGAGCGTTACGCTGGATTTTTGTTGTGTAATAAATTAAATATATATATATATATATATATATATATACTATATAAAATATAATATTTCTAAAAAGACTTACGCTCCTCTGATCCGACAAAACGGGCTTTTGCCAGATCATCAATTTGGCTTTAGGCATAAACAATAATTAGCACGATTGAACAAGTACATAGACTGGTTGTAAGAATTCATTCTGCATTTAAACGCAAACAATATTGCTCTGCTGTCTTTTTGAATATAACCCAAGCTTTTGAACGCGTGTGGCACGAGGGCTTGCTATACAAAACCAAGATTGTTCTTCCTAAAAACTATTATATTTTTATTAGATCTTATCTGAGCAATAGACATTTTCAGGTTAAATAAAGAGATGCTATAACACACACAAAATTAAAGCTGGAGTTCCTCAAGACAGCGTGCTGGATCCCACTTTATATCTATTATATAGTTCTGACCTGCCAGTTAGCGAAGGCGTTGTTATCATTTTTGCCGATGACACTGCGATATTGGCAATAGACAAGTGTCCGATCAAAGCATCTACAATACTTCAAATTAGCCTTGACACAATATCCAATTGGCTTAAGGATTGGCGTATTCTCTCGCAAATGAGACCAAATCTGTTCATATTATAATACTTTTACCACAAAAAGAGACTCCTGCCTACGTGTTAATCTCCATGGAATTCAAATACCTCACGCAAATAAAGTCAAATATCTAGGAATGTATATGGACAGACGCCTTAATTGAAGAAGGCATATATTTACGAAGCGAAAAACTCTTGGACTGAAAATGCGCAGTCTTGATTGATTTATGAACAGAAATTTCTATTTCTCAATGGAAAACAAATTATTCTTATATAAATGTATTCTCAACCCAATCTGGACACATACCTAGACATAGTCTTCAGCTGTGGGAAATCACGGCAAATTCAAACTTGGAAATCCTTCAAAGATTTCAATCGAAAACTATCCGTCTAATTGTTGACGCTCTTTGGTACATCTCTAACGATAGTCTACATAAGGATTTAGGCATTCCTACTGTCAAGGAGGAAATTGTCACACGTTTCAGGCAATATAAAGAAAGAATTTTATCTCACCCCAACAAGTTGGTCCATAGATTGATAGATGCTAAGACAACTTTTTATAGACTGAAGAGAAAAGCACTGCAAGATCTACTCATATGCAGAGATGCCAGATTCTGAACACTTGGTAGCATGCGGTAGCATGGAGGGGATGCGCACACAACCTCAGATCGTGTACGTGTGCGCTCGAGACTTTGGGCGCGATCGCACACGTACACGATCTGAGGTTGTGTGCGCATCCCCTCCATGCTACCGCATGCTACCAAGTGTTCAGAATCTGGCATCTCTGCTCATATGAGCTGATTATATTATATATACGGAGTGGTCACTGATCCATCCGTGCAAATCATTAACTTACTTAACCTATTGCTGAATGTCTCTATTTAGACAAATTTCAGTATGAATAATATAAAAAAAAAGTCAATTTTAGTCAATTTAGATTTTTTATCATAAAAATATGGGTTTCATTTCCCGAAGAAGGAACCACGTGCACTTTGTTTGTCATATCAAACACTATTTTTGCGTAAAATTTCAGATTGATTGAGAGCAAGAGTCATTTGGAAGTATATCTAAAAACTTATGTGACTTAGCAGCCAAAAAGATATAGAATCTTTAAATATTGCACAAAACTAAATTTTGAAGCAACTTTTTTTGTTGATTTCAATTTGAATAAATAAAGAGTAATGCATCCCAGATAGCCAACTAAGTGCAAATTATTGGCAACTTGCCACAAATATTGCTCATATGTTTTCAGCAATATAACAAAAGGGTGTATCCTCTTTTCAGTATATTCTTGCCAGCAACAGTTTACAAGATATAATAACAGCAAGTTCCCAACAACTCATTGGCAATAAACTTATACTATTTTTCTCAACTTATGAATAACAATTATTGCTCACATATTGCTCACATATTGCTGACTCACTTGTCATAAACATTGGCTACAACAATTGATTGATAATAAAACTCAGCATATCGATACTGAATTGACAAAAACATTTTTGTTGCATTAAATAAAAACAACACAACAGCAATTGGCGAGCAACTTAATCTATACAATGATATGCTTTATATTGAGTTTTCACATTTGGCTATCTGGGATAAAATGATTGTTCTATTATCCAAAAATTCTATTTAACCACTTGTTTTTTTCTTAATTCGGGTACGGGAGTTTCTACTATGTATAGGAAGAAGGTAGGAACTCTAAAATAACTCGAGAAATAACGTTTTTGGAAAAAAATTATAAATATAAAAGGTGTAGGATTTTGAGAGAGGAATGCAAACGGTGACTTTAAACTTGATCTAAGGTCAAATTTAGAGATCATTTCAAAGTCAAAATAAAATTTTTAAATGGAAAGTCCTATTTCTGCTATCGGAAATGAAAAGACCAGAAAATGTTATGTTCAGACATGTAGTCATATTTGAGAATGTCGAGGCTTAAAGATCTACAGTTTAAGGGTTTCAGAGCTTGAAGGTCTACGGTGTAAGGGATTCTGAGATTAAAATGTTTACAATTTTGGAGTCTCAAAGTTTCAAGGTCTAGGTTTTGAGAATTTTAAAGGTCTGAGATTTGAGGGTTTGAGAAGTTTAGGGTTTATGGTTAATGGTTTAGTAATAATGGTTTGTTAGTTGGTTTATTTTCTCGAAATTTCGGAATCTAATTGTTTTTAACCTCTAAGTAACCTTTAATTTGACCTCTTAACATGATTACTATATAGTCATGTCTGAACGTAAAGATTTCTGTTCTTTTCATTTCCGGTATCAGAAATAAGAGTTCTTATTTAAAAATTTTATTTTAATCTTGAAATGACTTCTAAATTTGACCCTTAAGTCAAGTTAAAGGTCATCGTTGTATTCTTCTCTCAAAATCCTCAACTTTTGTAATTACAATTTTTTTCAAAAACATTATTTCTTGAGTTATTTTAGGGTTCCCACCTTTTTCCCCACTCTGTATAACAAAAAGTAAAATTAAATAAAGAATTAATTAATTTTAATTAATTATAATTACTATAAAACGTACTTTCTTTATTTGTGTAGGTCATTATGGAAAGAAAACTTTATCATAAACGCACAGAAGGCCGATATTTAAAAAACATTGGAAGTAATAGATTGATAGAAACAGATGACGTAGAAGTGACTGGAAGTACGTACCACAATCAGATGATGTTGTTATTGAAACTTAATAGGGGTATACAAGATGAGACAATAATTGAGTGAGATAATATTAACACAACAGAGCATCTAATTGTTTTTGCTACATCTATTAAATTTTGTTTAATATTTTACTTACACTATATAGAAGATAAATTAAAAAAACGTAGATGAAGAAAACCAAGCTATTAAAAAGTACTTCAAATTAAATAGAAACTATAAGCCATAAGCTATCTTATAAATTTTAGATTAATTATGACTTAAATTTTATGTTATTGTGCATAAATTACTTTATCATTTAAACAAATTTTCAAAGACCATGACAAGAAACACCTATATGTGTTTTTCATATTTGATATAAAAATACGTAAAGCAGGACTTTTGTTAATAATATCATACATTATCTATGTTTCTATAATTTTTTAAACTGTCATGCAAGAAGAAATAGAAATGGTTTTGATTTACTTGTGCTAATTGGCTAATAATGATCAAAAGACAAAAAAATGATAAAAATGTATCACAATTATTAAAATTTATAATTAATAAAAAATCTTATAAGAGGAGGTCGCGACGTTGTACCAATCGATTTGGACGAAATTTATAAGATTGATAGATGACTATGTAGGGTATTGCAAAGTAAAGTAATAAGACGCACTACTCAAGCATTCGCGAGAAAATCAAATTTGAAAATTTCGAGTTACACTATAAGGATGTTAAATAGATCGTTTAACCGAAGATTGCGTAGCGTAGCGATAGCGTACTAGGTTAGTAGCGTCGACGCTGCTGGTTCGAGTCTCGATATACTTTTTTTTTTCAAAATTCTACAGTATAATCTAGATGTAAGTAATACATTTTTTATTTATTTATTGCATGTTATAAAAGTGCTTTGTTTTGCATAAAAAATTCGTGATTTAAAACATACGGTAAAAATAAATAGATTAATTCTAATTACTATTTAATTGTGTTCATAAAAAGCGGATAAATAATTGTACGCAATATGTAAAAATATACGCAACATGTTTTATTTATTGGAACTAGATGGGATAATAAACAATATAATGCAGGATTAGTTTGACCGGACCACGAATCTATTATTAAAAGAAAGTTTTCTTTGTTTACATATGGTGATAATATTTCTTTTAAATATTGTGTATACAGATTTGTTGTAAGTTTTCCGGACTTCAAAGATGTTACCACGACATTTGTATATATAGTAAAAAATTTATCGGTAGCTTGTTGTACCTTGGACCGAACACTCCTGTCGCTTCTTGTAAACATAAGAATATGCTTTAAAACATGTTGTATATATTTTTACATATTGCGTACACTTATTTATCCGCTTTTTATGAACACAATTAAATAGTAATTAGAATTAATCTATTTATTTTTACCGTATGTTTTAAATCACGAATTTTTTATGCAAAACAAAGCACTTTTATAACATGCAATAAATAAATAAAAAACGTATTACTTACATTTAGATTATATTGTAGAATTTTGAAGAGAAAAAAAAGTATATCGAGACTCGAACCAGCATCGAGTACTACTAACCTAACCTAACCTAACCTAACCTAGTACACTATCGCTACGCTACGCGATCTTCGATTAAACGATCTGTTTAATATCTTTATAAAGTAACTCGAAATTTTCAAATTTGATTTTCTCGCGAATGCTTGAGTAGTGCGTCTTATTATTTTATCCTGCAATACTCCACATTGTCATCTATCGATCTTATAAATTTCGTCCAAATCGATTGGTACAACGTCGCGACTTCCCCTTGTTAGACTCTGAGATTTCTAAACGCGAAATATATAAACAATAATAAAAGTCGTACACTAGATGTGGCGGAAATATGTATACAGGGTGTTTCATAATTGCCGTCTAACCGCTCGTAGGTAGATAGAGGGGTTATTCTAAGACGAAAAGTTCTATACCACTTTGCAAGATTCGCAATAATTAATAAAGAAATATTAATTAATAAAAATCCGCTAATCAGCATCCAGCGTAAGGACAGCTCAGTCTGTCGCGTCGTAGCGACGGAATACAATAACGTGGATAGCGCGCTGCCCGAACGCAGCCTATATGCTGTCTTTGTATGCACATGTTATTCTATTATCTCTTTCTATTCCATCGCTACGAAATATAAATGACACAAGTCTGTCAGTTACATTCGAAGCGGGAAGACGGTTTGCGTCCTGTTGCGTAATACTGACAACTACGTGACTGCCATTTCCGTCTCTCTTTTTCTCATACCGAATATCTATGTAGCGTATCTTTTCTTATCCATATTCTTCATGATCTTGAATAGATCATTATTATTTTGTAAGTTTTTATTAAAACACTGAAGAAGATCCCATAGTGGATCAAAACGTTTGGTAAAACTTTTTTAAAATCTTAGAATTATAAAAGAATTGTACCCGAACATCTGGTGTTACTGTTAGCTTGTTATTGCCATTTCCTTAATTCTTTTTATTTAAACTTTATTATAGTGTTTTGGAAAGTTCTTGAGTTAGGTTATAAGAATCTGCAATAAAAAATAGGAAGTTCCATCTAAAAAAATCGATGTGACCTTGACTTTGACAATGCAACTCAAGGTCAAATCAATGGTACCATCTTATGTCCCCCTCAAAGTCATAAAACTTTGATTTGAAACATTTGTCGATTTAATGCAGTGTTTTTAAAATATTTTAGTGGATATTTTAAAAAATGGAATATCCTGTATATGTATACATATACGGGGTGTCCCGTAATTGCTGTACAATTTCTTGTGAGCAGGTAGAAAGGATTATACTGAGTCAAAAAGTCCTTCACAACTTTCCGAGATTCGCAATAATTACCGAGATCTTAATTAATAAAAATCTGCAAATAAGCGTGCATAAGACAGCTTGGCGCGCTTCGCGCCCTTATGGTGTTACATATACTACACATATACATAAAATAATAAAAGGTAACCGCGAAGCGCGCCGGGCTGTCTTCCATAGAAGATGCACGCTCATTCGCAGATCTTTATTAATTAATCTCGGTAATTATCGCGAATCTTGCAAAGTGAAAAAAGGTTATATTGAGTCAAAAAGTTCTTGTAAAGAAAAAGTTCTTTACAAGAACTTTTTGACTCGATATAACCTTAATATAACTCTCTATCTGTCCACGAGAGATTGTACGGCAATTACGGGACACTCTGCATATACATATTTCCGCCACAACATCCAGCGTACGACTCTTATTACCGTTTATATATTTTGCGATTAAAATTGATGTTCATTAAATATTATCTATTAGTGGTTTATAGCTTCTACGGTTTACTTTAATTTAATTTACAAACAAATATATTAAAATATGTAAAAAATATGAAATTCCAAGCATCGTATAAACTGTGTTTATTTTTTGAGTTAGTTCAAAAAAAGCGACTCGCTATGTTGGATCTTTTAATAGCGGCATTTCGAGAAAATCAAATATCCGATTCGGACATCAGAGAAGAAGTCGACACCTTTATGTTCGAGGCATGTTTATGTCTTATGCATATACATATATTTTTACTATATTCTTCGAAAACGTATCAAAAGATATACTAAGAAATACATAAATAAATTAACGAGACTTGTACAATTACAGGGTCATGATACTACGGCAATGGGTGTGTGTTTTAGTTTGTTATTATTAGCTGAGCACAAGGATATTCAGGTATTTCGCGTGATACATAAATAAAAATAAGAAAAATATAATAAAGAGTTTGTCTTTGTTTAGTTTGGATTTTTATGAAACTATTTTGTTGTGATATATTTTCTCTGTATTTAATTTTAACAAGAGTAGAAAATATATCTATTAGAAATAAATACAGATAATGCTCTCGTAAAATCTCAGAAGTTTTTATAAAAACATTTTTAAGTAAAAGCAGCAGAATAACACAACTTTCAAAAATATATAGGATCGTGTTAGAACTGAAATAAACGGTGTGATGGAAGAGAATGAAGGAAAATTAACTATGGCGTCCTTACAAAAGCTACCGTATTTAGAAAGATGCTTGAAGGAAGCGATGCGATTGTATCCAAGTGTGCATTTAATATCGCGCGTTCTTTCAGAAGATATAAAATTCCGTACGTATTAGTGTTGCGCAACGGATTTTTAATATGTCTACATAAATTATGTTACGTTACATGTTACTGCAATGTACGTAAGTGTATACACACACACACACACACACACACACACACACACACACATACTTATATAAATATTATTTTTTGTCTGTAATAGAGTCGTATACAGTGCCAGCTAACACAATTGTGCATCTTAATATCTATGGCGTCCATAGAGATCCTAACTTTTGGCCGCACCCAGACGTATTTGATCCGGATCGATTTTTGCCCGATCAAGTGCAAAATCGTCATCCTTATTGCTACTTACCGTTTAGTGCGGGACCACGGAATTGCATAGGTAAATTACGCACTTCGTCTTTTTTTTATGAGAAAACAGTTTTTCTAATTCATTGCATGTTTGCGGCAGGTCAACGGTTTGCTATGTACGAAATGAAGACTATAGTCGCTTCTCTAGTGCATCATTTCTACTTGGAGCCTGTTGATAACTTGAAGAACCTTCGGATTAATATTGATTTGATACTTCATCCTGCTTATCCACTTCATATAAAATTTATCCCGATCAAATAAATAATATCAGCAAAATTAGGGAAAGGAAAGAGACAACTTCAATATCTCTTTATAAACATTTATTGAGATAATATTACATATATAAATGCATAAAAATATAACTTAATATAAATATATATAAAAATACATAAAAATATAATTTGATATAAATATACATAAAAATATACATAATGAGACGTATCTCTTTTTACGACTTCACATTTTTTGAGGTTTTGCTGTGTTTTGATTTAATGTCTTTAGCTCGCTCGATTTAAATTCGACAATTTGTTCAAGATGTGGTTAATTTTTCAGAAGGCAGCTCGCTAGTTGCCTCATCTTGAGAAGCCGCCGCCGTCTCAATTTCGATCACTGAAGCTGCTGGTTGCGCCCTCTGTGGTTGCGCGCTTTGCGCCACCGATCTCGTACCTGCCTTTGGACATTCGAATTTCCTATATCCCGTCGCCTTGCAATAAAAGCAAACCGTCTCTGATTTGCATGATTTTGTTTCATGCTCCTTCTTTCCGCAATTCCTAAACATTAACTCTTTGTTCTTGACCGCATTTGACACCGGCAGTGATTTTTTTCAAAGTCTGACACACCTTCGGTTACACACTGCATTTTCTCGAGGAAGATGTTGAGTGACTCGTCCGCTACCACGAGGGTGGTTACTCTGAGAGAACTTTGATTTATGCCACTAATTAAATGGATGGCATCACTCTTCGAAAGATTTAACTGGTGCAATAACGATAATTATTAATCGCGTTTTGATTAAATGTCTCTTTTGAAGTGATCCACTTTCTTAATTCCGCTTTTTGCATTGCTCGATAGAACGACAAATTTCTTTCAAAAATTTTCACTAACTCAGTCTTTAGATTTGTCCATGACTTGATCATCACACCTGTCTGTATGTCGTACCATTTTTTTGCATTTTTCGTGAGCCTGTTTGCAGCGGCCAATAAAACCACACCGTCTGTTGCACCATGCACTTGTCCTATCGTATTCACTCTGCAAATCTACTGGTTTACATTCTCGTCTTGATTTCCGCTAAACTCTGGAATTTGAGACGCGAGCCACAACACTTTGACACCAGATTGATCTTGGCTGCTACTTGCACTAGCCGTTGAGTGCGCAACAGGAGTAGAGCTTTTTAAAGCCCGTTCTACATTGATCGCAAGCGCAAACGCAAGGTATAGATCTCGTAGAATTGACCAATCACGCTGGTCAATTGGCTGATTTGATCAATACGATTAGTCAATTCTATTAGACCTGTTTCTTGCGTTTGCGCTTGCAATCAATGTAGAACAGGCTTAACGTACCAGCGTTTTCAGCTTGTCTCTCGTCTGACACTCGGGGATAACATCCCGAAAACATAACGCAAACTAATAACTCACGCAACGGCCTATTAACACTAGATATACCAGCTATTTAAATATACCTATTAAAAAATACAAAAAATATATTTGTTACGAATATATATAAAGTAACATTAAGTTCATAAAATGTATTCTCTACCCAAGTAGCATAAAAACGTTCTCAGAATGTTCGGCGAATGTTAGAACAGTAACAGTGAAAAACGTTTTTGTTATGTTAGAAGTTCGCTCAGGACTAACATTCTCCTAATATTCAGCAAACGTTCTCAGAACGTTTTACTGAAACGTTTCCGTAACATTCGGCGAACGTTACACAGAGAGAATAAAAAAATTTTTCGCAGGTTGCATTTTTACACAGCTTCGAGATTTCACTTGAATTAATTTTTGAAGGCCCGATTCAGCTCGCCAATCATCCAATGAACTCTATTGAAAGAAACTGGATCTGAAAAAAAATCTTAAGATGATGGCAGGATTTAAACTCGAGACCTCTATATTCACAGCCCCTGCACTCAGTCCGCGAGACCACTTATTCCTTACTAGAATGTGATTATTTTTATCTACTTATTCTCAAGCTATATCTTGTACACATTTTATTTATTATTATTTCTTTAAATTATTATTTTATTAAAAATATTGCAGTGTAATGTA